TACCAGGCAAGCCAAGGATGAAATCTGATGCTGGAGAATGGTTGGACAGTCCCTCTGCTTAGACCCAGCTGGCTCAAAAAGTGATTTTCTTCCAAGATGAGGTTTGTAGTGTCTCCGAAGGACCCATTCTGTCTGCTTCTACCACATCTAGACCTCCAGGATCCCTTCTCAGCCCATTTTTAATGTACCTAATGAGTAGAGAGGAAGCACTGGAAGTGAACTGGGACTTTAAGATAGAAATAAAAAAGGAAACTTCATCCTTTCCTCCCCATTCTCCTCATTTTCCCTTATTGACATTTATCAACCCGGAGCCTGAGGCACAGGGGAGTCAGCTACTCTGAATTTTTTAGATCTTTTTTACACTTTAAAAGCTAAGTAATTTTGCTACATTTTTTAAGTAGGTATGATAATCATATTGTGGTTATGTTGTAAAAAGTGTGGGTTTTTTTTCTTATAGAGATATTAATTGAACTGTTCACAGAAGAAATTATATGATGTCTAGGATTTGGTTCAAAATATATGAGGTAGGGTTGGGTTCAATTTAGATGAAACTTGATTGGCTGTGAGTCGATCACTGTTAAAGTGAGGTGATGTGTACATGAGTGTTAGATTATATTATTCTCTCTACTATTTTGTTTGACTTTTCCCTACTAGAAAAGAATCACGTTCACTCAGGCACTTCCTACTATTCCCCCACTACACTCCCCATCTGGAGATATAGCTGAGACTATAATGATTTCCCCCCATTATGGGGATGAGGAAGTGGTGTCTCTCACTGGTAGTGATCTTTTTAAGGCAACTGGGAGTGGAAAGCTCTGACTAGAATTCAGGCAGCCTGACTTCCCACCGAGGGTTCTTCCCATTGCATCGTGCATAAACATGAGCCTCATACGGCCATGAAATATAGGACTTGTGAGTAAATACCTATCTGATTAATGAAAGAACTGAGACTCCAGTTGTTCATGCATTTGCATGGGATGTGCCTAGACAAGTCTCTGGACACCCAAGGGTTCCACATTTGCATCTCAGAGACACACACACACCTCAGTTCAGCAGCTATGCTTTCCTAGGTTGTACACTGGTAGATCACTTGTTTTGAAAAGGTATGTTAGACATGATATATAGAAAAAAGGAGAAGGGGATCAGATTGTTATTTCTAAGTGCGCCTGTTCTGTATGTTCATGTGAAGAGCTGGGCTATCATACTCTTGGTGAGAACATACCAACAGGGAACCTGAAAGGAAAACATATCCCTGACAATGGATAGATCAAGCCCTGGATCACAGACACTTGGAATTTGGTAAGGAAGGAAAAACATTGGCAGGCTAGTGCCTTGTATCTCTCAACAACACTGTAACTTTATACACAGGGATACAAGGTATTTTTCTCCTCGCATATATAGGTATGTTCCAATTAAAATCCATCTATATCCTTTCATAAATAGTGTGTTCATCTTCCATATGCATGTTATGCAGCCATGTCTTTAGAGAGAGGGATTGTAGCGGGTGAGCCTAGGTCGAGGAGTCAGAGGACAGGAGGTCTAGTCTACTGTCCAACACTTGCTGAGTATGTCATCTTCAGCAAGTGACATCACTCCTCTTTGGCTCAGTTTCCCCTTCTGAAAAACAAGACTGATATTAATAGCTCAGCTGTCCATGTCAAATAATGCTAAACATATAAAAGCTGTTTTATCTATAAATCTATATTTTACTCTACACATTCATACTAAAAATAATGAATATGCACCTATAACATACATAACACATCTACCTACCTACCTACCTACCTGTCTATCTAACCTATAGATGGGGTAGAAAGACTGAGTAACTTGCATAAAATAACACAATTTAAATATAGCATAGAATAATGAAATGATGACGAGTTTGGGAGTTAAAAGCACCACTAAAGAGCTAAAAAGGTGCCCAATATAATTATTATGCAGTGATTTCTGCTGGTTATCTCAGTTGGTTAGATTAGTGGTTCTTAAAGTGTGGTCCAAGGACCCCTAGGGGTCCCAGAGCCCCTTTCAGGAGCTCTGTGAGGTCCTTTCTCTCCCAACTTCATATCTAAATGAGGCTTTGTGTTTCATATACTTCAACCAAAAACAATATATTACAACAAATTGAATGCAGAAACAGATATGAGAATCCAATCATCTTCTATTAAGCTAGACATTAAAGGGATTTGCCTAAATATAAAACAATGACATTCTTCTCACTAAATTGTTATTTTTCACAGTAAGTTAGTTATGTTGACATGTAATATATTTATTATTATTGTTATTTAGAATATTTTTAAAAGTTTCAGCTTTAATTTCTAAGAAGGTAAAATTGATAGGTACTAGCCATACAAAAAAGCTCTTTGAGATTCTAATAATTTTTAAGAGTGTGAAGGGATCCTGAGACCCAAAAGTTTGCGAGCCACTGGGTTAGAGCCTGTTGTCGATGAGGTCAAGAACCTGCCAAGGCAAAACCAAGCCAGGTAGCAAAACCCAGGTTGCTAGGCTTATTGCCCTCAATCTGGTGCTACCCTACACCCTCACTAGTGCTCCCTGCCAATCTCAGTCCCATCCTAACAGCCAGTGCCCATGGCCATCATGAACAAAGAATTGGAGTTCATGAGCACCCACTCTGGTGTCAGGTAAGTCCTATTGGAGTCCTGGCTCTACCAGTGGAGCATATCAGTAGCCTCCTGGGCCTCAATTAGCTTCCCCTTTTGTAAAAGGGGCATATTCTTTACAGTGTTATTATAGGGCTCAAGTGAGAGAATGAATTTAGCACAATGCCTGGTACCTAATAAGCACTTAAGAAAATGCCTATTGTTGTTAATAGTAATAGATAGCACTTACTGAAAGACCACTGTATGCCAAATGCTCATATAAGTGCTTTTCATACATTAATCCACTCAACCCTACAGTGTCACTGTAAGGCTGTTAACAATCCCAGGACATAGTTACTCTGTAGTTGCTGTGGCTATTGTGGTGGTTTTGGTTGTTTCCTAGGTCCTGCCCTATGAGCAGAATAGTGTAGATTGGAGGGTTAGATAAATGTTTCTGGTTTTGATTTAACTTTGACATAGAAGCAAGAATACTGTGAGGAATCTGATCTTCTAGAAGCCTCTGACTCCCACCTGCTTCTTCTTTAGCCACCCCAGATCTAAGGAAACAAATTGCAGAATCAAGAATGAGTCCTTATGCCACATGGTCTTCAGCAAAGGAGCAGGCCTTTGGGAAACAGGGGACACCAGTGAAGTGACATCAGTGATAAATCAATGAACCTACTTCATAGGTGCTCTAGTTGGAATGTTATTCTCTGTCAGTCATCAACTCTACACATACACACATTTTACCTTTAGCAAAATCACCTATTCATGCATATATGAACAGAAGAAATGAATGTGTTGAGGTCCTTGCATGTATGTGTTATTTGTGTTTTGAGGGTACACCCCTAGGTAAACATGTGTACAGAGAGAAAGGACTCTGAAATTATAGACTAGAGGGAGGGACTCTCTCCCCAGTCTTCCCTTCCATTCTGATTAATTACCAAAGATGCTATAACAAAATTATAGGCTCTGATATCCTAAATCTTTCTTAGATCAGGTTCCTCCAGAGAACATAGTGGCTGGTCTAGGTCTGTCCAGCTAGTGGGGTAGGGAAGGGGAGAATGTAGTTCAGTTACCTCTCATCACCATGGAAACTGAATGGCAGAGCCATGGGGAGTACAAATCTGGGGCTTTTGACTAACCACCAGCTTTCAAGGAGAGAAGAAGGGCCAGGATCCCAGGTAGGGCTGGAGGGAAGGGTGGGAGGAGGACTTACTTTCTCTAGCAGTTTTCAAATGTGGGCACTAGGACAAGGACCTTGGGATATTCCAGTCTTGTACTTTGGGGTATAAGATGGGTTATTGCTAAAGAAAGGCCTACCAAGAGTCTTAGGCCTGAAATTAACTGGACACAGATTCAACTGGATTGACTGAGAGAAAAAGACAGGCTATTGTCTGCCCTGATTGGGTTTATAACCCTCTCCTTCAAGCTTTGGAGACCACATATTCTTGGATATGAGTGGAGGAAGGAGGATGTGAGGGAGTCACTTTTGGTTCTTTTTTATTTTTTGGAAGATGAGAAGAAAGGCTCTCCAATGTGCACTGTCTTGGTTTATAGTAGGGAATTCTGGGAGGGACTGAGGGGTGTTTTCATTGCTCAAAAAATGTTAGAGAGGGTGATAATGACCAGCTAAAGAGGTTAGAAAAGGTCATCTCTCCTCTATGTCAGAACTGAAGATATGGTCAAAATCTGGAGCCCAAAAGAGCCCAGCAGAGAACTAGGGCAAATTATCTAAATAATTCAGCACCAATTCCTCTGACTTCAGATTCCTTGCTTTTACCTGAATTTAATGGATAATTGTCTCCAAGAGAAGACACTGGTCCCAGGCAGGCCAGGACTCAAACTGTGCAATTCCAGGACCCTCTCCAGCTGGGAGAAAAAATGAAAGTGACTAGGGGTTGGGAAGTGGTCTCAAAGTTTGGGTCCAAAGGTCTCTGGGCCCTAGGGTAACAGAACTGGCTAGAGGACAGAGGCCCTCCATTTGGGGACTTCTTTGACTGCTAGATGTGAAGGGAAGGGGGAAAGGAGGGTACTGGGGGAGGGGCAGGCAAGAACAGATGCTTCCAGATCTAAAGAAATAATTTGAGGGGAAAGCAGGAAGGATCAAACGGAGGAAGAGGAGGGGGAGGAGGGGGGAAAAGGAAAGAGAACAAAGGTATAATGGGGATTGTAGCCTCTTTGGTGGAGAAGAGATAAAGGGGAATCCGGGTGAGATAGCTAAACCAACATCTGCCCCAGGCTATAAAACCTGTTCTATTCGCTCCTGGCCCAGGGGCCACTCTGGAGCTGTCAGCTCAGCCCCTGAGGTGGCCTGGACTGGAAGCTCATCAAGGAACCTTTGAACCTCAGCTATCCCTCCCAGATTGCCGCCCCCCTTTTGGTTCCTCTTCCTCTGCTTTCTCAGTTGAAGGGGAGTTCCAGGGGCAGCACGGGCTGGAGATTGTCCCGGAGGATTGCTGCAGGATGAGAGCGCCTGAGGAGCAGGGATGTGAGGAATACGGAACACAGAAAGCAGCAGGAATGTTGCGCAGAGACCTTCGAACAGCCGAGCAAAGACAGACAGACAGAGCTGGAGGCAGTCACAGTCTAAAACAGTTCAAAATCATCAGAGAAACTTAAGTCCAAGAAGAAAGGTTTCTTGCTGGGAGGCCCACATCTCCCCACCTCACCTCGAGTCCCTCCGTCAGGTTAGGTTGAGGTGAGGGGCTGGAGGAAGGCAGCTAAAGGCATGAGCAAATGCACAAGAGGAATATTCCATACCTCCCCCATTTTTCTCCTCTCCTCAAATGGTCTGCCTTTCCCCGCTCCATCTAGGACTCAACCCCTATTCTGTAACCTTGTTTTCCAAAGTCTGTTCCAGCTGAATGGGAAGATCCACATGTACAAAGTCACAAATACTGTGCTACCGCCCAAAGGAACAGTCACAAATACGAGCCATGGGGTGAGTAGAGCTCTTCCCAACAAGAATAAACTGGTTGGGAGAAATTTTCCAAGTGACAGAATGTGTTTCCCTTTTTATAAGAGCCCTGATCCTAACCTGGCCTCCAGAGACAAAGGCCAGAAGAAAAGGGAGGCAAGCTTTCCTAAGATTTGGGGTGGAGGTGGGGGGAGGACCCATTCTTGGCCTGGAATTCCTCTGATGGAAGAGACGGTTGGTTTGATGGCCTGGGATTCTTCAGTGCTGCCAAGTCCCTGTTAGGGAATGCTTCCACTACTAACTAGATC